CTCTAGCAAATTGAGTGATTTTAAGTGGCATCTAGAACTACTCAGGCCTGTTGTGCTAGCTGGAATACACAGTAATGCGGCTCCTACTCTGTCTTTTCCAAGGTTGTATAAACAAAGTTGTACTTACTGAAACATGTGAACGTGAGACTGAATGTTGCTTTCTTTATCTGAATAACTAAAATGTATACTTCTTGATGATAAGTAATTTCTGTCATATAGTCTACTAATCTTGTTGATAAAGTATTGCTTTTCCAAATAGGCATATAAAAAATGATACAATTTTGTTTTCTTTAACCTGTGAAAATAAAAATAAAGATGAAGACTCACTAAATGTAGCCAGTACACTGTGTATGTGTGATTGTTTTTTAAGTGATTTACATGTATGTTCATAGATTTGCTTTCTTTTAGAAGTTCTGAAGAAAAAACAGATCAAGTCTTCATTAACTCTCATGTGTTTAGAACATTCAGCATTTGACCTTTCCCATTTAGGCAGTGGCATCTCCCAGTCAGTCATACCTAAAAAGTAATGGGATGTAAAACAATCCATTTTTCCCTAGCGTTGGAAAAGATAGTAAAATTTGCTTCCATGTCTTAGGTATACTCATTAAAAGGCAGGTAATTATCGCACATTTATATGAAATAAGGATTCATTGTAATCTCACTTCTAGAAGTGTTTGGGTAAATTTGTTCTGTTTTGATCTGAATTTAAGCTGATCCCTCTCCTTTACCCTCTTCTGTGTATCAGATATTTATAGGAATTATTGCCTTCCTTTGCAAACATCAATGATAGATAAAATAATCTAAAGTTGATACACCAACTGCTTAACACTGCCAAAATACAAAGCTCTTAAACGCGTTTGGTTTTTGGAATTGTTAAGTATCTTTGGCTTCAATATTGTTCCCATAATATGCTCATATTATTTGTATTACATATTTTGAATTAATGGAATCCAATTTAATTAGTTTTCATAGTTACAAAGTATTTAAGGTAGATGCTATTTTTAGTTCTTCCTCTTCAAAGCATTAGTTCTGCCTCATATAATAATGTATTTTAGAAGAGGGTCCATGAACCACACTAGTGATTCCTGGGTTTTGTTTGTTTGTTTGTTTATTTGTTTGTTTTGAGACGGAGTCTCTCTCTGTCGCCTAGGCTGGAGTGCAGTGGCGCTATCTTGGCTCACTGCAACCTCCACCTCCCAAGCTCAAGGGATTCTCCTGCCTCAGCCTCCTGAGTAGCTGGGACTGCAGGCACACGCACCACACCTGGCTAATTTTTTTTTTTTTTTTTTTTTTAAATGGGGGGGGTTTTTCCCCATGTTGGCCAGGATGGTCTCAATCTCCTGACCTCGTGGTCTACCCACCTTGACCTCCCAAAGTGTTGGGATTACAGGCATGAGTCACCACACCCAGCCTCCTGGGGTTCTTTTAAGCAGCCTACTAATGTTGAAGGAAAAGCAAAATAATGAAACAATATTTTTCATAGTTCATAAATTTGAAATGTTGTAGGATCATTTTCTCAGAGATATCACTGGTTTTGAAACTCGGACACATCAATTTATGCAAAGATGGCAAAGTTTGTGTCAAGTCTGTCTCAGCTTATAGTCACCAGGGTACAGTTAATCTCTGCTAACATTTTTGTATCTTCCGTGTATTACTTATTAATTTACATTTTCCATTGTTTTACTGTGTTATTTTATGTTCCAGATTCACAAAAGTGGCTAAGTAGTTCAGAAGTGATTTCCTAACTAGTAAAATCTGTAATGAAAATAAAAACAAGACTTACTACAACTCAGAATTATGTCATTATATAATAGATGACTGCTGCATTGAAGTTTTATAGAATGTGAATTGCTTTGCTAGGACAGTGATTTTACACAAACAGGAAAAGGGTAAAAAATTTAAATTATTGAATTCTGAAAATTAGACTTTATTAAATGAATTATCAATTTACCACTCATGTCTGGTGTGTTACTTGTTATATAAAATGTTGTCAAATGGTGGCCTAAGCCATTTAAACTTTTGTGAGTTTTTGAATAAAGCTCAGAGACCTCTCTGGTAAGCTAATTAAGTTTTCCAGAATATCTGCAAAATAATCTTTGTCATGTTGAAGAATTTCATAACGAAAGGTAGAGAGGAGAACAGAACCATGGGAGCAATATTCAGAATTCAATTTGTTTTAGCAAATTATCAGAAACCAAACTTGTAAAACCAATCACAAAATTATTGACAAATATTTTTATCAAGGAGCGAGCAGAAGAAGTGCTTTGGAAGTATTCCTTAACAAACGTTACTATTGGGCATATATTGAAATATCAGCTACTCTCACATATACATGCTATATAGCATATTTCACTTTATAGCTGAACAAAACCACTTATGTGCTGAGTAATTCTTTCATACAGTTCTTGTCACGTGTGTGGATCATTTGAAGGAACAATTTGGCTAGTTCTTACGTGGGCCAACAAAAACATAAGTGATAAGAGAATTATTATTTTGTGAAATGGTATGTAGACTGCATATCTTTTAATCAATAATGATGAAATACCCCTAGAGCTTTTTTGAAATTTAAAGGTGGGGATATTCTGCAAGGAATAATACTACCATGTGAATAAATAAGATTATGCCTAATGCCCAGTTACCCACTGTTTCCTTCTCCATGAAATTAGCGGTTGGCAAGATGCTTTTAATTTTGATTTGGTTTCGGACAAAATACTGAAAACAGGGTTTAACATAAAATCATATGCAGAATTGGTGGGAAGTATACTTTTCACGCTGAACTATGGGGATTTTGAGGGAAAAGGTGTTTAAACAAGTGTTTCAAAGGTGATACCAATAATATTAATATCTGGCTAAAATACCAACAGTTTAAATGTTGAGGATGTGATCATCAGATTTGCTGAGAAGAACAAACGGTGCAGTTTAGTGACCAAAAATCTGACTTTTCTAAACCTTGTTAGCCTTCTTTAATTACTGGAGAAAGGGCTCAATGACATATAATTGGGCATTTTTAACATACAGATGTGCATCCAAATATGAAGAATATCTTCCAGAGCAAGCATATCCAAAGAGTATATCAAAAATCTGTTTGCTAATATCCCTCAAATTAAAACTTCCAGTCTTTCAGATTTTGAGTTTAATAAGCTTGACAACCTAGAATTTGACAGCCATACATAATCTTCAGGGAGGACTATCTCTTTAAGGTTAGATTCAGTAATCACTCTGAATGTCTTGAGAATTATCTGAAACATTACCTAATGCTTATTCATTTTCCCAATCTATGACTGTGACTTGGGAATTTTCAGTCTTGCTGATTTTATTTCTTATATCTCTTTTGAAAATATCTGCTTTTATCTTTCTCCATCATGACCAGTTTAGACAAAGTCACTATTATCTTCTTGTAGCCTTCTAACTGCATCCACTTTATGTACGTATGTACGTACACACACACACACACACACACACACACACACACAGAGAGAGAGAGTTTAAAATGTAATACATAGAGTTTAAAGTCGTCAAGGATGCAAAATACGTCTTTGAATGTGCTATCCCTTTGTTTAAACTTTCAGATGGCATTTTATTGTTTGTAGTCCAAAAATCAAATTTGTTAACATGATATAAAGGTCCTACCTTCGTTTTCTACCTCATGGACCATGAACTCCCCATAGCTTCTCTTTACTCTCCTCTTCCTCAACTCCTGCAGCTTTAGTGATTTTCATCTGCTCCTATTCATACTCTATTCCAGTTACCAGGCCTTTGCAACTTTCTCCCACCTTCTGGGTAAGGCTTATCTCCCCTCTTCCCTTAATTAGTCCTTACTCATTCCTCCCATTTCAGCCTAGAGTTACTTCTTCAGGAAAACCTTTCCTATTCCTCTGACAGTGTTAAATCCACTTAACCTCCATAAAATCAAGCACTCATAACCAAGTTATTTATAAATAATCACTTCCATTTTTTTTTGTTTTAGTTTTGGTAGTCATTTTGTTGATTTGTTTGTTGACGCTTTTTGTTTCTGATGTTTTTGGTTTAATGCCTGTATTCTGCCTCTAACTCCGAAAACCTCTGTCCTAATTGCTTGGTTTTTAATAGCTGCAAAGCATCCATTTCTGTGTTCTCAAGAAGCTACTTAAGATATACTGAAATCAATGTAGAAGAATTTTCTCTTGAGGGAAATGAAGGAGGCTTAGACTATTTAAGTCACCTATGAAGTTTAGACTAACCATCTGGCTGTTTTAAAAGTCACAGTCTTTTTTCTTATTTAGTTATTTTAAGGGTCATATTTTCATGTTTTTCTAAGCTTGGCAGTTTGTTGATATAATAAACTAGTCTATTTTTAATTTTTGGATAGGGACTTCAAAATGTCTTTCCCATTTTAAAAAAGTTGCTTTCTCATGATATTTATTTATTACACTAAAATGTTTTATTCTAATCTTGTTTTTAAAGAAATAAAACATCACAGCTACAGTTGAAGCCCCATGTGTCATTTCTTGGTTCCAGTCTTGTCTTTTCCTACCTAGAAATAACTACTATTCTGAATTTGGTCTTTGTTATTCCCATTCAAATTTTTAAAAACTTTTTTTTACATATGATTGTACTTAAAAGATAGTATATTTGTTATTTTAAAATGTCCTATCTTTCTGTAACCGGATTTTTTCATTTAACATTGTCTTATAGTTTATTCATGCTAGTTATATAGTCTTATTCTTTCTTTCTTCCTTTTTTTTTTTTTTTTTTTTTTTGAGACAGCGTTTCACTCTTGTTGCACAGCCTGGAGTGCAATGGCGTGATCTTGGCTTACTGCAGCCTCCACCTCCTAGGTTCAGGTGATTCTTCTGTCTCAGCCTCCCAAGTAGCTGGGATTACAGGCACCCGCCACCAAGCCCAGCTAATTTTGTGTATTTTTAGTAGAGACAGGGTTTCACTATGCTGGCCAGGCAGGTCTTGAACTCCTGACCTCAGGTGATCCACCTACCTCGGCCTCCCAAAGTGCTGGAATTACAGGCGTGAGCCACCATGCTTGACCTTGTTCATTTATTTTTTATTGCTATTGTTGGATCTCATTGTATGAATATGCCATGCATGGTTTATCCATTTTCTCCTTAATATACCACATCTATTTATTTTCCTGTTAGTGGATTTTATTGTTCTATGTTTGTATTTTATTTTGTTTTTCGAGTTAGTTAACTATTTGTTTTTACTATACAGATAATGAATGACCATTATTGTGTATATCTTTTTGAGAAGATATATAGAGGGATGTCTCTCTCCAAGTAGAATTGCTGGGTTGAAGGGCATGCATAACCTCAACTTTACTAGATAATGTCAAATTGCTCTCCAATGTAGCTGTACCAATTTTTACTTAAGCCAGCACTGTATGAGATTTACTATTGCTCCACATTCTTGTCAACACTTTATATTACCATGTTTTAAAACTTTTGCCAACGTTATGGGTGTGAAGTTGTATCTAGTTTTAATTTTAATTTCCATGATTTCTAATGAAATTGGCCATCTTTTCAAATTTAGGCTACTTTTAATATCTTCTTTCTGAAATTATTTAACTTCATATCTCCAACAATTACTTTTACTGAGCACTGATTTATACCCAAAGCTGTGCAGGACCTTAGGAGAGATTCTAGTAATATGAAATTGGTACTGGTTTATAAGAAATTATAAGATTTATAATCTTCTTATAAGAATCTTATAATCTACCTATGTGAAGACAAAACTTTGGGAAACTGACACAGGCTATCATTTATAGGGTATTTCCTTCTATTACTTTGCAATGAATAATTGGCTGCAAGTTATCAACTTTATAAAGAAATACTGAATAATTATTTTACTGTTGTAGTTATAAATCACCTAATATGTATTCATTTAATTATATTCAGATGTCTTTCTGTGCTGCGATTTCATAGGAAGACCTTAAGAAGTTAGCTTAAATTGTTATAGTGCTGCTAGCAATAATTTTACAAAATACTTGACATCCCAATGAGATGTCTAAGAGCTAAAAAAGAAATGACATGATGATCCTAGAATTTAAAAAGCTGAAAGTTTAATCTGTAGGATTCTGTTAACGTAGATAAAATATATATACATATATACACATAATCCCTCAATAAATGGCACTTCTGAGATAGTCTAGACAAGGACCTAGCAGTCTCTTGGAACTGCATGTCACCTTCAGGGTAAAGCCACGCCCATACTTCATATTAATAGGCCAGTAAACTGTCAAAGATACAGATAGAAGTTTTACAAAGATTGCAGTGAAGACAAAGAAGGGTTCCTAACCCTCCTAAAACCCAAATCAGAGCACAATCCTTGAAAGGTGAAGAAGGCTGTGTTGTAAGGCACAGGAACTGTGTGCCAGCCTTCTCCTAGCCCAGTTTACTGTGACTCTGAAGACAGCCTGGAATAGCTCTCTCAGGAGGAACGAGCTCAACCATTGCCTTTGTCAAGCTCCCAATGACCACAGTGTTCTCCTTCTGCCATCAAGCAAGCGATGCAGAAGTCCTGTAACATTGAGGAGATCAAGGGCAACTTTATCAGACTGGTGAGCAGGTCTGATGGAGAGAAGACTATGTGCATTTGACTGGCCCCTGACTATGACACTTTGGGTGTAACTGGAATGATGATTGTTTAAGCCATGTCCAGTTGGCTAGTTCTAAAAATGGCAGAATTTTTCTCATCACAAAAAGTACTAGCAGAAGAATGGAAGAGATAGGAAGGAACAAAGAGCAGTTGAGAAGAGACAAGGAAAATGCACATAATTGAGGCAAATGTTGACTGACACTAATGGGGTTTGGCTATTCCTGACCTAAGCTCTAGCCAGGAAAGACCCAACTGAAAAGTCAATATCTCCAAAGAATTGAAGATTGTTTACTAACTTTAGTTATCTGGAACAAAGCCAAGAACCAAGAAGGAAACAATAAAGGCCTCTGAACAACTAGAATAGCTGTGATATAGAAGACATATCTCGGGCCTTCACTCCTGACTTATTTTCCTAATTTAACACACAATTCTAGCAAACTCTGGCCTTAATTTCCAGCCTACAGCAAACCTGAAACAGTAAATTCGAAGGGGAATAGTAAATTCAGAGCTCTCTTACTAAATTTACATTTGCTAGCAACATTGTGTGACATCACAGTTTGAAAATGAGAAAGAAAAAGAACTGAAAATTCACATCAGAAACTCAAATAGTAGCATGGCACTACTATTCTTAAAAATACCTCTATTTTTTGTACTTGTACCTGGAGCATGTGACATATACAGTAATTAACTTTTTAAAGAATAACTCTCTGTTTCAAACCTCTTTTCATAGTCTAAATGTCCATTTAACTCTCTCCACTGACCCAAAGAAGTGTGAAGATTGGCACCTTGCTGATGAGGATCTGCCCTGGGTTAAAAGATCACATATGTATATGTGGCTCTTCCTCTCCCTCTCCCTGCTGCCTTTTGCCTCATGCAGCTCATGCAGAAAACTCTGCCATTAGCTTCAGTCTCTTTCTTTCATGCAGCCAACTGGAAAATAAAGAGTTAGACAGGGGTTGAGGGGAGTCCTGGAGAGGAAGAGATATCTTAGACATTTGCTGAAGTCATGTGATACTTTTCAATTGGCCAAAATTCTCTAGATTTGGAGGGTTATCATATTAGTCTGCTAGTAGGACCATCACAAAATACCACAGACTGGGTGACTTAACAGAAATTTTCTCACCTTTCTAGAGTCTGGAAATTCAAGATGAAGGTGTAGGCAGGTTTGGTTTCTCCTGAGGTCTTTCTCCTTGGCCTGCACATGACTAGTTCATCCCTGACATTTCTTCCTCTTTTTAGGACACCAGTCACATTGGATTGGAACCCCACCCTTCTGACCTTACTTAACCTTAATTAGCTCCTTGAAGTCCCTGTCTCCAAGTATAGTCACACTGGGCATTAGGGATTCCACATATGAATTTGCGGGGAACACAGTTCATTTCATAACAGGGATCGAAATCCAGCTGACAATTCAAGTGTTTCTTTGGGAGGAGAGATGATTGATGGGTTAGGAATCTGGTATTCCATTATCCTTACTCAGTATACCTTGTAAAACATCCTGAAGCTCCTTCTAACAGCAACCATTCTTCGACAACTGCCTATCATTTTTAGTCAACACACACCCAAACCCACACACATCTTATTGTTATCGCTTATGTTTTTTTCTCTCTCTTTGTCCAAAACTGCTGAAGGAGAGGAAACTAAGGATTGAACAATGTACTCAAGACATATTTGAGATATAGGAACCCAATGGCTGTGTATTGTTGTTTTAATTGGAATTTAAAATTCCAGTTAAAGTTATCATTAGAACTTTGGCCCTGCCTACCACTCTTTTTCTTGCTTCTTCTCCGGATGGAAGTGGAGTGGCCTTCTGTTTAGGTGCTGTTTTTGTTGTGGATGCCCCAGTTTTCACAGAATGATTTTAATCCTATCCCTCAGCTCGTGTCTGTTCTTTGTAGAACGGAATAACTACATTCCAGGTACCAGTCAGGGATTAAATTTATTAACTCATTGCAGTCAAAAGCCCAACTTATGAAATAATTAAATAAACAAAAAAACACCCCAATGCTTTTGGAGGAATACCTGAAGAATATGCTGCCAGTCTGTTTCTTTAGATTAGTAGTTCTGAAACATGGAGCTGCCAGGAAACATCAGTATGTTTCTGTTAGTTTTGAGATATGTCCCAGCTGATTCTAAGAGAAAACTACCAAATTTGCCAGTAATTTCATAAAAAGTAACTAGAGTCAATTCAAGATTATTCATATGACAGTGTTGTCTTCGGTATTCTGTAATGTGATGTGTTTTGTCAAGACAAGAGAAAGAAGAGGAGTTAGAATCCAGAAACCAACATGGCTTATTCATGTGGCTTAATGGGCCACACTTCCTAGTACACAGGAAATGCCTGTGCCAATTAGAGTAAAAGTAAAAGCCCTCTTTCATAGTGTAGTAAGGAACTGTTAATTGAAAAAAGCAGGTTAAAGTGAGGAATTATTAAAAGTTATATAAACATTTAACACTTCAGTTGTACACACAAATGTATATGCATTGATTAATCTTTTCATGTAGGGCCAAAGCTTTTTTCTTTTTTCTTTTCTTTTCTTTTTTTTTTTTTCTTAGTTTGGGTCTGCCAGTTATCATTCTGCTTTATTTACCTTGTACAGATCACACTCATAAGTTCATAATACACTTCCTACTGTTTCCAGTTTTGCTTTGTTTTAATTAATGAGAGAATTGAATGACACTCAGGCAGCAATTAGAGCAGAAGCCTAGATTTTTTTCCAATCTTTTATATTTATCTTGCCCACACCTAGTTGGACAGCAGTCTAGCAACTTTTATCTAGTATTTCCAAAGTATTCAGTTTGGTTTGTTTTGTCAAACAACAAACGTGTACTTCATTGGTTTATGTAAAATTTGTATTGGACAGACTTTGAGGCAACCCTCATGATACCTGCCTTCTGATGTTCACACTTTTGCATTATCCCTTCCCCTTGATTGTGAACAGGACCTATGACTGACTTGCTTCTAACCAATGTGATAGGGAAAAGGTGATGGAATTTCACTCTCATGATTATATTATATTATGTAAGACTGTCTTGCTAGCAGACTTGTTCTAGAGACTATACTTGCTGGCTTAAGAAAGTAAATAGCCATGTTGGAGAAGTCCACTTGGCAAGGACCTATGGACAGTCTCTCAATAGGTAAGGGTGGCCCCTAGCTAACAGCCACCAAGAAGCCAGGGTCCTCAGTACTAACAGCTAAAAAGAAATGAATTCTGCCAGTAACCTGGGTTAGCTCAGAAATAGATTCTTCCCTAGTCAAATATCCAGATGAGAACCATCCTGGACAACACCTTGATTGCAGCCTTATGAGACCTGAGCAGAGGACCCAGTTAAGTCTTGCTTGGATTACTGAGCCACAGAAACTGCAAGGCAACAAATGTGTGTTGTGAATTGCTAGGGTATGGTACTTTGTTACTCATCAATAGGAAACTAATATATTAAAGTATCTATTTCCAGTAGTAACTGCAACTGGCAAACATATTTGGGACCTAGATAACCTCTGGTAAGCATGATACTCAGCTGCTTGCAGTGTAAGGCTGCAGGGAACACCACTAGCCAAGAGCATTATGGGTGCACAGATATCACTCACTGTGTGTTGCAGAGGAAATGTAGAGAAAAGGTTGGCAGGTTAGTTCAGTAGAGGCCAGTTACAAAGATGTCTGATACACTGAAGTGCTGAGTTGTGATTTTTTAAGTCATTTCCTACAGCTGAACAAATAAGTAAAATTTTAACAAGAAAACAAGAATAGATGAGGAAAGTAGAAGTGGTAATTCATTTAGGTATTGTATATGAGTGTAGGAGAGCAAGATTGATGCCAGGGACTTTTCTGTTAGAGATATATAATAGCGATAATACAAATAAATTACAAATGAAACATAATAGTGCTATTTATATTAATAACAAGTTCATAAACTTTAAAATCTATATCTTATAGCAAAACCAAAGTAAGTACTGTTTGTGTTTATTCTTTATAATATGTTCTTGGAGGCTTGGGGAAAATAATATTTTTTTAAAATAATGTTCAATTTTTTAAATTACCTTAGTTATACTTAAGCATTTTTTCTTATAAAATGACTTTTAAATGTTTAAATGGCTGATTTTACTACTCAGTGCTTATAAAATGATTTTATGAAAGTCATCAAATAATAAGCTACCATATTTGACTTTCTGGAAAAAATTACTTGGTTACATTAAAACCTAGAATCATCAGATTTGGGAATTTTGGTTTTATAGCTATATGTGAATCTTTTCTGCTCATATTACGTGTGAATTTTATCTGCTCGTGCCACAGTAAGGAAAAAAATAGGTTGAAATAAGAAGTCTAGATCCTCTGCAAATCTAACCCGTAGAGCCCCACCCCTATTGTCAGCCTGGGAGTCTCTGGGCAGTGGTCACCTGATGAGGTGCCCCCTTGTTTCTCTTTGGGGTTCTCAGGGAGGTGAGTCTGGGGCGGGTTAGGTAGGCAGAGAGGAGGCTCAGGTGGAGTCAGAAGCCAAGGTAAAAACCCTGAAAGTGTTCTGAGGGGACTACCTGCTCAGACCAAGGGACCCCATGGAGTTCCATTTCTGTTGTCAGTCCTGGGTAGGCCCAGGCAGGGGTGGCATCCTTTCTGTGTCAGAGCGAGAGGCCCCCTCAGCCCTCACTCTGGATAATCACCCAGATTCCAGGCACATTCTCCTCTGCTGACCTGAGGGCCGCCACTCAGACCAAGGCCCACACCTCCCTGAGACCCCTGAGGAGGAATTGAGGGAATATGACTTCTGGCTCCCTCTGCCCAGGACCTCCAGGACTGCCCACGGTAAGGACCCTTTCTCTGATGTGACAAACTAGAATCAACAAGATTTAATGAACATTCTACGTTTCCTACTGTCCACAGGCATCTGGTATTATTGAGGATTGGAACAGGCTTCTAAAAATTGGCTTGAAAAGGCTTGAAAATGAACAACTCGATTAACACATAGGTGAAGGATCTGAACAGACACCTCATCAAAGAAGTTATACAGATGGCAAATAAGCATGTGAAAAGATATTCCATATCATATGTCATCAGAGAAATGATAATTAAAACAATAATGAGATACTGCTACATACCTATTTGAATAGCGAAAGCCCAAAACACAGCACCAAATGCTGGCAAGGTTGTGGAGCAACAGGAACTCTCATCTGTTGCTGGTGGAAATGCAAATGGTACAGCCACTTTAGAAGAGAGTTTGGCAGTTTCTTACAAAACTACACATACCTTTCCATATGATCCAGCAGTTGCACTCCTTGGTATTTACCCAAGGAAGCTGAAAACTTACATCCACACAGAAACTTGCACACGGATGTTTATAGCAGCTTTAGTCATAATGGTCATAACTTGGAAGCAACCAAGATGTCCCTCAGTAGGTGAATGGATGAGTAACCAGTGGTACATCTAGACAGCAGAATATAATTTAGCACTAAAGGGAAATAAGCTATCAAGCTATGAAAAAAATTGGAGGAACCTTAAATGTGTATTACTAAGTAAAAGCCAATCTGAAAAGGCTACATGCTGTATGATTTCAAGTATATGACATTCTGGAAAAGGCAAAACTGGTAACAATAAAAAGATCAATGGTTGCCAGAGGTTAGGGAAAAGGGAGGGATGAATAGGTGGAACACATGATTTTCAGAGCGGTGTTAGTATTAGTCTATGTAATACTAAAATGATGGGTACATGTCTAAACCCATAGAATGTATAGTAATAGCAAGAGTGAGCTGTAATGTAAATGTGAACTTCCAGTGATGATGATGTGTAGGTCCATTGATTATAACAAATGTACCTCTCTGGTTTGGGATGTTGATGGTGGGGGAGGCTCTGCATATTTGGGGACAGGGAGTATATGAAAACTCTGTATTTCCTGCTCAATTTTGCTGTGAACCTAAAACTGCTATAAAAATAAAGTCTATTGTGTGTGTGTGTATCATAGATATGTATATGTATGTATGTATATGTATATAAAATGACATCCGATGCTACTTTCTTTGACTTTTCCTGGTTCACATACCTGAGTAAGGCAATTTGGTCAGTGAATGCAGCTGTCCCTCTGTGGGTCAGATGCTCAGTTTTGACAAGCAGTCAGTAGCATGCTAATAACTAATTGGTTTTTAAAACCTGTTAGCCCTGTTTGGGAGGTGAAGAGTTCAAAACTCTGAGGAACACTTCTGGGTGAAGGCTGACTCCCATTGTCCAAGGCTGCAAATAGCAAAATCATCAGTTACAGTGACTTGGAGCTCAAAGGGGCCATTAGGACTGTGGAGCACAAAGGTGGAGCAGACGAGACTCAGAGTAGGCACTTTGAGAGTCATGAGATAAGGCTAGAGAGGTAAATAGGATCTTGATATTTTCCAGAGTCTGATAGCCAGTGTTCAAGGTTAGGGGTTTTATTCTAATGGCATTGAGAAACCACCAGTGGATGTTAACTAGTGGATAACGGATTGGAGGATGGGAGGATAGAAAAGATGTGTGGATAACAGATTGGAGGATGGGAGGGTAGAAAAGAGAGTCAGAATGGTTGTACCAAGACCAGTGGGATTCAGGGTGACAATGGTGTCAATATGGATGGGTAGACATTGGTGGATTTGAAATAAATTGTGGAGGTGAGTAAAAATGTCTTAGTGATGCATCTGATGTAGAAATTTTAAGAGATGGTGTTGTTAAGGATGATCCTAAAGTTTCAGTCATTAGGGTGCTCGACAGATATATGGAGCTGGGGAAAACCAGTATCAAATTTGGTGTGAGAACTCAAGTATTGGGTTTGAATTTCTGTGAGACAGCCAAGTGAAAACATTGAGTAGGTGTATATGGATTGGATATAAATGTTGGGATGAGAAAGTTAAATTTAGGAGTCAGCAACAAATCGATGAGATTGAAGCCATGATAAATCATTAGGAGAAACATGTATTTGAGAAGATAAAGGGGACTAAGGGCTGAACCCTGATGAGCTCCATGTTTAAAGGTTGAGTAGAGCAGGAGAGGTTTAGTGGAAGACTGAGAGGGGCCACTTAGGCAGGAGGATGGTCAGGAAGATGTGCTGTCAGAGCCAGAACAAGAGATGATCTCAAGTGTACTGAAGACCATGTGTACTGAGATTTTAACCCGCATGCTCTTTGTCCCAAATTTGAAATGAAAATGTGTTTCACAGTTACAGAAAGTACTTGTCTTGAACATGAATGAATCCACCTTTATATTTTATTTACTGGTAGGTAATTTTTAATTATTAAAATTGTAAGTATCATGGACTTTATAAAAATTTATTTATATGAATATACATATGCACACATACAGACTCCCTGGGTTTGTGTAGGAATTATTGAGAATAGCTAGTGAAAGCAAGCTTTTTCATTGCAGGTAAGCCTTAAGTTGTTTTACTTTAATTGGGGTGAACATTTATTAATGCATTTTTGCACATTTTATTTCTTTCCTTAAATTGTGGTAAAATATACCTAACAAAATTTACTGTTTTAACCATTTTAAGTATACAATTCAGTGGCATTAAGGTGCATTTACATTGTTGTTCAGACATCACCATCAATCTCCAGAATGTTTTTCATCTTCCAAAACAGAAACTCTGTACTCATTAAACAGTAACCCGCCCAGTGCCCCATCCTTCCAGCCCCTGGCAACCATCATTCTACTTTACATCTCTATGAATTTGACGACTCCACTCTAGGTACCTTATATAAGCATAATCATACAGTGTTTGCCCTTTTGTGACTGGCTTATTTCACTTAGCATAATGTCCTTAAGGTTTATCCATGTTGTATCTATCATGTCTCAGAATCTCCTTCCTTTTTAAGGCTGAATAATATTCCATTGTTTGTATAGACCACATTTTGTTTATCTCTTCATCTGTTGATAGACTCTGGTTGCGGGGCTATTGTAAATAATGCTACTATGAACATGGGTGTACTAGTATCTGCTTGAGTCTCTGCTTTCAATTCTTTGGGTATATGACATATATCCAGAAGTGGAATTGCTAAATCATATGGTAATTCTATTTTTAATTTCTTTAGGAACTGCTATATATTGTTTTCATAGAGGCTTTATCGTTTGTCATTCCCATCAACACTGCAGAACTGTTCCAGTTTCTCCACATCCCCGCCAACATTTGCTATTTTCTGGGCAGAGTTGGGGGTTGGTTTTTGATAGCAGTCATCCTAATAGATGTGAGGTGGTACCTCTTTGTGGCTTTGATTTATATTTCCATAATGATTAATAATGTTCAACATCTTTTTGTGTCCTTTTGGCTATTGCGTATCTTTGCTGGAGAAATGTCACCTCTGAAAGCAGTAACTTTAGATTTTATTCTGATAAAATGCATATGTCTTAATATACTTTCAGAATATCACCAATTTTTGGTTCTCCTATTTTCTTGAACAAATTGCTTTATTTGGAATCTAACACATACTCAAAGACATAGAGAAAATAATACCAAATTATGCTTTTGAAAAATGTGCCCTATATTGTTTAAAAAGTAAAATGAAAAGCAGGGAAATTTTAACAGTGTTTCAAGTCACTTCTTTTCATTTTGTTTTTATATAAATTAGTAAATGCATTTTTATTGTTCTTTAAAGTTATTCTACAAATCTACCTAAAAACCTTACTGAATCTTTCATTAAAATGTCTGATCAGTCAGTAGAGATGACTTTAAAGAGTCAAACCTCTAAGGAAGGTGGTTTCTGGGTAAAAATCATATGAAAGAGCATTTAGTTTCATTTTCACAGTGTTTTTCTTTTGTAGCTTTTCATAAGGAGTGGTTAAATAATTGTAAGTTTTTTGCGTATAGTGTATTCACACACCACACACACACACACAGACCATTTGAGTTCATCTACTTAAAATTCTTTTAGAAACCAAGTCACAGCGAAGTTAATGTCATAGTCTAAGTTAACACAGCTTGTTTGCACAGAGTTGGGACTGAGAAAATACCTTGTTTCAGTTCATTACCAGAATCCTGTAGCATTTTATAAGCAGATTAATTTCTTCAAATAAATATTTTAATTGGCTCTCTGCTTGCTTGTTTTTTTTTTTTTAACAGAAATATGTCTACCTGTTTTCTTTAACAGTTATTTCGAGAAGTACGAATAATGAAGATACTGAATCATCCTAATATAGGTATGAAATATATATATAAAATCAGCAATGAAGTGTTTTCCTTAATTTGAGGGTATTTGAAAAGACACAATTTTTTTTTTTTTTTTTTTTTTTTTTAGACGGAGTCTCGCTGTGTCGCCCAGGCTGGAGTGCAGTGGCGCGATCTTGGCTCACTGCAAGCTCCGCCTCCCGGGTTCACGCCATTCTCCTGCCTTAGCCTCCGAGTAGCTGGGACTACAGACGCCCGCCACCACGCCCGGCTAGTTTTTTGTATTTTTAGTAGAAACGGAGTTTCACCATGTTAGCCAGGATGGTCTCGATCTCCTGACCTCGTGATCCACCCACCTCGGCCTCCCAAAGTGCTGGGATTACAGGCTTGAGCCACCGGGCCTGGCCTGAAAAGACACAATGTTTAAGGATAGTTTATTTAAGCAGAAGAGAAGTGATAACCTGAATGATAACCCAGGAAAGTGATACTTTGGGTAAAAATAGATTACAAAGAAGCTAACTGGAAGCTACAGATTGCTGTTTTCTGCTACCTTGCTATCTTCTGCTCTCCACTAAAATAATTGATACCATTTGGAATTAATGCATACAATTTTTTTTTAATTTCCTGATTAAATGTCTCTAAATTTAAAAGAAGAAAATGTCTTTCTGGCTGGGCATCGTGGCTTATGCCTGTAATCCCAGCACTTTGGGAGGCTGAGGCAGGTGGATTGCCCCAGTTCAGGAGTTTGAGACCACCCTGGGCAACATGGCAAAACTCTGTCTTCATCTGTTGATAGACTCTGGTTGCGGGGCTATTGTAAATAATGCTACTATGAACATGGGTGTACGACAATGGTGTCAATATGGATGGGTAGACATTGGTGGATTTGAAATAAATTGTGGAGGTGAGTAAAAATGTCTTAGTGATGCATCTGATGTAGAAAAAAAAAAAAAAAAAAGAAAGTCTCTAAGTGAGATTGCAGGTCATTTAGGTATTTATTTAAAAAAAAAATGACTTTCAAATATTTTGATACTATGCACTTGGGTTTGATCATAGTTTACAGGCAAAATAACTACATTTTAAAGAAAATAAGTTGATTTCAATTTTAGTAAAATTTTTCAGTAAGTTCTGATTTCTCCCCATCTTTACAAATAAACTTATTGATTAGATATTATATGAAATCATTTGATTGTGAGAAGTAAAATCTTTTTAAAATCTGTTTTCTTAAAACACTTTTTTTTTGCACATTTAAAAATCTTACTGTATATAGTTGTTAAAGTGCTTATTTGTGGTGACTATTTCAACTACATAAATTTGATAATTTGGTAGTTTTTCTAACCAGAAACTTCTATAATATGACAGAAATACAGAAATTCTTTTGTTTCTGTACCAAAGATTGTTTAACATTTTATAATTGCTCACCGTAATATAACATAGTCTCTTTTTAAACTTCAGTTTGAAATTCTATTTTTCTGATTTTAAGAGTTCCTTTTATTACCTTATTGAAAAAGTAATGGCTTTTTAATCCTAGAAACAACTTTTTCAACTTAAAAAGTTGGTTCTAAATCACTTTGTGGTAAGTAGTTTTCTGTCATAGGAATAATAATCTTTGAGAGACTTTTTGAACTTAAAATTGTGATTAATAATGTTTAGTAAATAGTCAAGTTTTCTACTAGTTTAATATTGCCTTAGATTTTCTTAAAGCATATTCAATCTGTGCTAACAGTTATAGAGTTATATCTCTAATTTTTTTTTCAGTAAAATTGTTTGAAGTTATTGAAACAGAGAAGACTCTCTATTTAGTCATGGAATACGCGAGTGGGGGTAAGAATATGGGTTATTGAAAAGTTCTCTTTGCTGAGACATACAGAAATATTAACACTTAAGGGTTCATTATGACATTTATGTCTTCAGTGTTGTTAATGAATCCATTGTTTTATTTAAATGCCTTCAAATTACATCTTAAGAAAAATTCAGTGTTTACTTTTAAGACCTTTTGATCCTACATTATTATAAGTGGAATTTTTGGCTTATTTACAGTTTACTTAGGGACATTTTTTGAAAAGTTAAATTTGTATTGTCATCTTATAAATGTATTGATTCTCTTATCTAAATTTTATTATATCATATCATGATTAGAAACTCTTGGCTATCAGCAGGGCTCAAGTACAGAATGTATTTAATAAAATCTGTAATAAAAGCTTGTTCTAGGTCAGGCGTTTATTTCACTGATTGTTCACATATGACAGATTCTCAATATATATGCCTTTCCAAGATAATTCATAAAATGAATTAAATGTTTCCATTTAAACAAGTATTGATCTATATATTTTATATGTTAGAGGGCTGAGTTGACAGGGAGATAGCAAGATGCATTTGTAGTAGAATATCACATATGTTTTGACTATCATGATGTCAAAAATAGGAATGATTTTTAAACACTGATACATAATAGAAAATCACCTTCATCTCCTGCACTTTCCCTTAAACGAGAAATACGTCAGCTCAGAATCACTTTTCTCTTAGACTTAGGACTTCACTTTCTCAGAAATGGGTTGAAAATTTATGGAATTAATCATTTAATAAGTAAAAATAAAGAATACTTAAAGGGAGGTTTTAAGGGCTCAGGATTTAAGCAACTGAAGAAGAAAGAGGGCATCTGAAATTATTTGGCTGATTGATTTTTTGCTAATCGATAGAAAAACTTAGTGTTGAACTTATATTGAACTCTTAGCTAATGAAATTTATAATTTTAGTGGTGATTCAGATTTTATGTGAACTAGAATAAAAAGGATTTATCTAGTCTGTAGCAACTAAGCTATATTTGTACTGTCTCGTATTTCTTTTTTTTTTTTTTGAGACGGAGTCTTGTTCTGTTGCCCAGGCTGGAGTGCAGTGGCGCGATCTCAGCTCACTGTAAGCTCTGCTTCCTGGGTTCACTCCGTTCTGCTACCTCAGCCTCCCAACTAGCTGGAGCTGCAGGTGCCTGCCACCATGCCTGGCTATTTTTTTTTTGTATTTTTAGTAGAGATGGGTTTTCACTGTGTTCACCAGGATGGTCTGTATCTCCTGACCTCATGATCTACCCACCTCGGCCTCCCGAAGTGCTGGGGTTACAGGCGTGAGCCACTGCACCTGGCCTCGTATTTCTAAAAAGCTTTACTATAGATGTTAATATATTTAATTGCGTTTGCAGTTGTTTATACAGATTGAATATTTTAGTCTCCCTTTTTTTTTTTTTTTGGCAAAGCTTTTGTAACCTAAAAAAATATTTCAGTGTAGGTTCTTTTACTTAACTTGAAAATCTATCATTAATGTTTATTATGATAGGCTTTTAAAAATTATATTAAAACAACCATGTAAATTTGCATAAAATGTGTATCTATAATAAAAGTAATGAATCTACAAATACCACATAATGAACTATTTCTTTATTTTTATGTCCTTCAGTTAGATTGCTGTAATAATCTGTCGCATAGGAACCCCGAATATTATTTTTAGTTTAGTTAGACTCTTTTCTTCCTTTTAGTGATGTAAAGTTTAGAGAAAGGAGCTAGATCCACTTTGATTTGGGAAATTATTATAGACTGCTAAAATTCTGTAGACACCCTTATGTTTTTATAAAGGCCCACTGCAAGACTGTGTTAATAGTAGTATGTGTACTGACTTAACGGTTAATGGTAAGTACAGTCAACTCTCTATTGGTGCTAATGAAGGGGAGTAATGGCTAGAGTAAGAGTATGTAAGGCCTTCACCACTCTCCTTCAGTAGCATATTTGGGAGGCACAGTGGGGAGTAGTGTAGAGAAATGGGTACAGGAATTCAGACCATACCAGCTAGTCTCATTAAATTCTGATTCCTGCAATAGGTTTTCTTTGAGTTTTGCAAGTTAGTGATTCTGTGACAAAAACCATCATGGTTCTGTGACAGTAAATCTAGAATCATTTTCTTGCCTTTTTAATCCATAAATGGCAAGGTGACTCTGGAAAATAAAACACTGAATATTTTTCCTCTGAAATTTCTAGTTGGTTTAGGATCAAACCTGACATGTACACTAGAAAGGTAATGTGAATAAGAATTAAGTCAGACAACTGCCTCTTTGCCAAGAGTTGATTCTGGTTCACTAATGGAATGAAAATTTTCAGTGATTAGAAAATCAAATATATCTTTTTTTTTTTTATTTTGAACCATGTTTAATCCAAAGGAGCCTATTAAAAGTAGGTTTCAGGACTACTGTGAAATGATATGTTTATTCTTTCTTTTGTTCATTCAAACAACATTTATAAAATGCTTACCATATATCAGGTAATGTTCTAGGTGCTGGGAATACATGAGTGAGCAAAGACAAAGTCCCTGCCCTCAAGACGCTTACATTCTAGTTGGGGAAGTAAATCATACACAAACAATATATGATAAGTACAGGATTATGTCATGTAAATATCTGGGGTAAGTGTATTCTAGGCAGTACTTAAGAGTAGATCCAAATTTTTCGAACTCTTGTATATATCTTTCCCAGCCTAAACTCACATATCTAGAATTAACTACTGTGATGGGTTAACTAGAATTAACAACTATTACCACGTATCTAGAATTAACTACTATGATGAGTCAACTAGAGCATCCGTTCATTTCTCTGTTCTCATCATCCCATTTAATCACTTAAATATGCTTAATATTATATAATATGCTGTCTAACATTGTAGATGTATTAGTTTCATGTGACATACATTCATTACGTATTTGGTTTTTAATATTTTATTTATATCCTAGGATTGATATTGCATATATATATATAATGTATCTGTATACCTAGGTACAAAAATGCCATTTATTGAGTGCTTACTATATGCCAGTTGCAGTGCTAAGCACATGCATTATTTCATTTAGTACTTACAACAACCATGTGTATAGGCAGTAGGTAGAAACTGAGCCTTAATGAACTTAAGAAATCTTCCTAATAATGTCTTTCAGTAGTACTTAGGGCTAAAACAAAATTCATACCAAAATTGGTCTGATTCTAAAGTCTGAGTTTTTGTTTTTACCACTTTGCTATACTTTACAAGAACACTTGAAGCCATTTTGTGAGTTTTTAATATACATGGATATCTATATGGTACAAATTATAAGGACACAAAAATAAATTTAACTCTTATACTAAGATAATATTTTATTTTTAAAATTGTGTCTCAAGTTTAATTTAGTTTTAAGCTATTACTAACTAGAGAAAAACTTACAGACATGTAAAGTAATGGATTTAGTAGAAAATTTCTACGGCTTCTAGTTATTTTTAAATTATTTCACCAAACATTTATCTATCCACTTTGTGTTCTGCCATGGAGATGAAGATGCAAATTAAGTACAGATATTATGATGATGTTCAAGCAATTTACAGTTCATCTGGGGTAATAGAGATACACACACAAAAGATTTAATTCTGTATAATTTGTGGCTAACTACTGAAATGTATGAAATGAGTAGAGTGAGAATAAACACAGAGTATAGGAAAAGAAAGAAAGAAATCAATGTGGATGGAAGTAGTGAGATGGAATTTTATCCAGGCTACGTGACAGGGAGAATTTAAAAGAGCAATCCAACAAAAAACACGTAATCATTTTGTTTGAAATGTAGGCCCCAAATACAAAGCCAAATTTAATTTTTGATTTCCCAGGCTGTGGCTTCCCTTTACTAGAATGAATAATAAAGAGTTGACTGTATTTTTACATAATACTTGAAAGCAGAAAGCAAGTTTCTTGGTTGTGTTTTTATGACTTATTTTTTAAAGAGTTTTGCTAAATCACAAACTGCTGCAGATACTGAATTCTATATGTAATTTTTTCCTTTTTTCTATTCATGTATTAGTTTGTAACTTACATAAACTAGCAGAAAATTGTGGGCCAAAAGTTTCTTTATAAACAAGGAAAAAACTTGACATTGCATATATTGTTAACCAAAAATCTATGTATATTTTACTACCTGCTTTACCTTTCTGATTCAGGTGAAGTATTTGATTACTTAGTTGCCCATGGAAGAATGAAAGAGAAAGAGGCCCGTGCAAAATTTAGGCAGGTATGGAAAGTAGTTTTCAACTTTGTTTTACTGATATTTGTAGTGATGTACAATGGACATTATTACAAACTGGACTTCACAGCACACGGTATTTTAAAAAAAAGAATTCCTGCTTTCTTATATTTTTAAGGATGAAAAACTCCTAAAAAATAAACCTTTCTGAATTTAAATTTAAATAGTTGCAGATGGTTATTTTTAGATTGTCATGAAGAGTAAATATTTATAGATGAGACTCACCCTATTAACTCTCTGAGAGTCCTGGAAACATAGACTAGACTGACATAGAAAAAAAATAGTTAACCCTTTGAAGTCTTTATCCAATAATTATTATAAATTATTACTGGCTTTATATATATAGCATGTATGTGTACTATTTAAAGAGTATTGTATTATATTCTTTTAATTAAAGATGTTTTGGTGTTTAAACTCATTTTTGTAGATTTAAAGAATATGGTCAATTTTATTTAACCAAGTAGGCAAGAAACTTTGCAAAATGTGGCAGAGGAATATGGTAAGATACTCATATTTCCAGTTCAACTTGAATATGACTTATTACAGAAATAATAAAATAAGAAAAAATAAATTTATCTAGAATTTTATTTTTAATTTTTAGAACTGAAGTGATTGAAATAAGCATACATATAAGTTACCATAGAAATAGCAAATTAATAAATTGTAAATTGTAAGCATACATATAAATACATAGAAATAGCAAATTAGTGAATTGTAAATTGTTCATAAAATTTACTAAAATTTAAGCGGACAATTTACTATATCCTAAACTTTTACTAAATTTAGAATTTTTAAAATGGCTCGCTACCTCTTCTGCCTGCATGAACACTTTAATTTTACAATTAAAGAGATTCTGTAATCAATATGTTGGGAAAAGACCAAATACTGATATAAGTTCTTTCTCTAAGATATGTACATGTGTGTTAACACGTGAAACAAATAGAGAGAAGTCCTGAAAGGGAGGGGAAGAAAAAGCCTGTTTAACTTGTAACATGGCATTCTCCAAATTGACCATGAAATGAGTGTGTGTGTTTTGTGAAACCTCTGTTATTAATATCTCACAGAATTATTGCTTTTTGCAACACAATTTGTGAAATGCTTTATACCAAAGATGTGCATAGCCCTTTTATTTGGGATAGATTCCTAGAAATATTCATGTTAAAATAGCTGAACGTAAAGACAACTGGTAATAAGGAAAACAACATTAAGAAACTGAATGGCATCCAACCACGTACTGTTAACTTATTTTCTATCCTGGGATGGAAGTTCAAGCTTACCCTTAAATAAAGTATTACACACATCATTTTTTTTATTTTTTTATTTTTAATTTTTCTTCCTTTTTAAATTATACTTTAAGTTCCAGGGTACATGTGCACAACATGCAGGTTTGATACATAGGTATACATGTGCCATATTGGTGTGCTGTACCCATCAACTCATCATTTACATTAGGTATTTCTCCTAAGGCTATCCCTCCCCCAGCCCCCCACCCCACGACAAGCCCCGGTGTGTGATGTTCCCCACCCTGTATCCAAGTGTTCTCATTGTTCAATCCCCACCTATGAGTGAGAATATGCAGTGTTTGGTTTTCTGTCCTTGTGATAGTTTGCTGAGAATGATGGTTTCCAGCTTCATCCATGTCCCTGCAAAGGACATGAACTCATCCTTTTTTATGACGACAACATATACCAAAAAACAACACAGCAGATCAAGGTGGGAGTTCATTCCTGGATGCAAAGCTGGTATCAATATAGTCTGCAATCCAATAAATGTACATCATCACATAAACAACAACAACACACATACACACTGATGACAAGCATTACCAAACAACAGCCCTTCAGCTAAAAACTCTCATAAACTACAGGTATGATGGCGAATGTATCTCAAATAACAGAAGCCTATCTGAGCTGACAAACTCCACAGCCAATATCATTACTGAATGGGCAAAAACCTCGAAGCATTCCCCTTGTGAAAACTGCACACAACACAAAGGGACTGCCCTTCTCTCACTACTCCTATTCACCATACCGTGGTTGGCAAGTTCTGGCCAGGCGCAGATCTGGCAAGAGAAAGAAATAAAGCTATTGTCAATTAGGAAAAGAGGAGGTCAAGTTGTCCCCTGTTTCGGCAGAATGACAATGAATGTATATTAGACAAACCCCATTCGTTCAGCAAATCTCTCATTAGTGAATTAAAGCGAATTCAAAGCAAAGTCCTCAGATACAAAATCAATGTGGCAAAAAATCACAGCATGTCGTCTACAAGAACGGGACAACGAGCCCTATGACAAGTCCATATATACACATACAAACAAGAAATTAAATAACTAGGAAGTCCCCTATTTTGCACAAAAAACTCATTTTATTTTACAACTGCCAGTAGGTCCACAATGGAATCCACAGGGGAGCATTTGGTGGAATTGGCCATAACTGTCCCAGTAATTTATAAGTCCCATCCCCATTCATACCTGACTGCTAACACGAGTAACTACTTTTAAAGCCAATATGGACCAAAAAGGCTGCGCATTGCCAAGATAATCCTAAGAGCAGAAAAAGCTAAGAAACAATACCCCACATGCCACAAACAACGTAACACACAGCATGAGAGTACATGGGATACCACAAGATATAGACCATGGGACAATATGAGGCCATACCAAACCAACACACAACTTAACAATAAACATACATCCATGAACCAACTGAACAAAAACGAAGAAATGGGGGAAAGGATTCCCTATTTAATAAATGGTGCTGGAAAAACTGGGTTAGCCATACGTCAGAAAGGTGAAACTGGATCCCTTCCTTACACCTTATACCAAAAATTAATTGAAGATGGATTAAAGACTAAATGTTAGACCTAAAACCATCAAAGCCCTAGAAGAAACAATCTAGGCAATACCATTCAGGACCATAGGCATTGGGCAAGGACTTCATGACTAAAACACCCAAAAGCAATGACAACAAAAGTCAAAATAGACAAATGGGATCTAATAAAACTAAAGAGCTTCTGCACAGCAAAAAGAAGCTACCCATCAGAATGAACAGGCAACCGACCAGAATGGGAGAAAAATTTTTGCGCAAATCTACCCATTTGACAAGGGCTATAATCCAGAATCTACAAAGAACTCAAAAAGAAATTTACAAGAAAAAAAACAAACAACTCCATCAAAAAGTAGGCAAAGAACACTTCTCAAAACAATCATCTATGGCAGGCCAACAGACACATGAAAAAATGCTCATCACTGGCCATCGAGAGAAATGCACAATCAAAACCCACAATGAGATATCCATCTCACACCAGTTAGAATGGTTAGAATGCCCAATCACTAAAAAGGCAGGAAACAACAGATGCTGGAGAGGATGTGAGAAATAGGAATGCTTTTACACTGTTTTGGGAGTATAAAATTAGTTCAACCATTGATGGAAGACACGTGTGGCGATTCCTCAAAGGATCTAGAACCAGAACTACCATTTGACCCAGCAATCCAATTACTGGGTATACACCCAAAGGATATATAATCATGCTATTATAAAGACACATGCAGACGTCTGTTTATTCGTTGGCCACTATTCACGCAACAGCAAAGACTTGGAACCAACCCAAATGTCCATCAATCGGAATACGACTGGATCTAATGAAAATGTGGGCACAGTATACCACCACCAAGATACTAACACCAGTCATCAAAAAAGGTATGAGTTCCATGTTCTCTC